TAGATATACGTACACATATGTTATATATATGTATTAAATGATAATGACTGCTATGATTTGAGTGTGATTTTGTCCCCTAAGGATTCATGTGTTGGAAGCTTAGTTCTTGTAGTAGTGTTGAGTGGAACCTTTAAGAGGTAAGCCCTTGTAGAAAATCCTTAGGTCAATTAGATTGTGCTCCCAGAAAGAATTAAAATATTTCTCATGGCACCCCCAAGTGTTCATGAGAGGACTGATATGAAAAGACCAAACCTGACCTCACCCAGCTACCTGAATTCCTGTTTTAAGATGTGATCTCTTCCTCCCACATGTGCTCCTGCCGTTGTGATGCCATCTGACATGAGGTCCTAACCAGAGCCCAGCATCTTGCCTTTGAATCTCCAGAACTGTGAGCTAAACAAACCTCTTTTCTTATGGTTACCTTGCCTTTATTTTGTTACTTACTATAATGCAAAATAGATGAATAAAGAAAATTGATCCCAAAAGTAGAGCTGTTACTAATAATGAATATCTACAATGTGGAAGTGGCTTTAAAATTGGGTAATGATAGGAAGTTAGAAGAGTTTGGAGGAACAGGTTAGAAATGCCTAGAATGCTATAAATGGAAAATTATGGGTAATTGTGAAGAGGACTCAGAAGGGACTATGAGATTAGTCTTAGATGAAAGTGAGGATTCTTTTGAACATTGAAAAGACCATTCTTGTTATATCATAGCAAAGAATTTGGCTGCATTATATTCATGCCCTAGAAGTTTATGAGAAGCCAAAATTTATTTATTTATTTATTTATTTATTATAAAGAAGAGAGGTTTATTTGGGATTACGGTTTTAGAGGTTCAAGGTTGAGGGGCCACATCAGCTGATGGCCTTCTTGTAGGCAGAGTCCTGAGTTGGTACAGAGCACACATGTTTATGTATGTTTGGTCTTCCTTGCTTTTTTTTTTACTTTTATCATTTTTTTCTTTTCTCCTTGTATCATTTTTACATTTACTTACATGGGTATACATTATTTGTGTGCACCCCCCCCACCTTCCAACCTGTTCCACCCTCCTCTTCTCCCCCAATTTTGTTGATGAGAAAATATAAGAGATAATAAGAAAGCAGTATTGTTTTTGCTAGTTTGGGATAAAGATAGCTCTACAGAGAGATTCCTAGCGTTGCTTCCATGCACTTGTGTATTGCAACCCACATTGGTTCATCTCTACCAGACCTCTTTACTACTTCCTTGTTCCCTTCCCATAATGGCCTCTGCCAATTGAAGATTACTTTATTTGCTCCTTAACAGGGAGCATATCAACCACATTCAAGTTTTAGGTTTCCTTTCCCTGTTTCTCCCTTAGTGTGTGACCCATGTCCAATAATATTACTGCATTTGTTTTGTTTTGGGTCTATAATCTACATATGAGGGAGAACATGCAATTTTTGGCCTTCTGAGCCTGGCTAACTTCGCTTAAGATGACGTTCTCTAGTTCCATCCATATACTTGTGAATGACAAAACTTCATTCTTCTTTGTGGCTAAGTAAAATTCCATTGTGTATAAATACCACATTTTCTTGATTCATTTGTCAGTCGTGGGGCATCTTGGCTGTTTCCATAGCTTGGCTATTGTAAATAGTGCTGCAATAAACATGGGTGTGTAGGTGCTTTTGTAATAACTTGAGTTGCATTCATTCGGGTATATCCCTAGGAGTGATATTGCTGGATCATATGGCAGATCTATGTTTAGTTTTTTAAGGAGCCTCCATATTGTTTTCCAAAGTGGTTGTACTAACTTACATTCCCACCAGCAGTGTAGGAGGGTTCCTTTTTCCTCTGCATCCTTGCCAGCATTTGTTGGTGGTAGTGTTCTTGATGATAGCCATTCTAACTGGGGTGAAGTGGAATCTTAGTGTGGTTTTGATTTTCATTTCCTTTATGGCCAGGGATTTTACATTTACTTACATGTGTATACATTGTTTGTGCCACCTCTCCCCCAAATCCTCCTGCTAGAACCTGTTCCACCCTCTTGTTCTCTAATTTAGTTTAAGAGAAAGCATAGGAGATAATAAGAGAGATATATCGTTTTTGCTAGTTTGAGATAAAGATAGCTATACAGAGAGATTCCTAGCATTGAAGAAGCCAAAATTTAAAAGGGACAATTTCCACCTAGGGCATTTGGTGGAAGAAATTTCTGAATAGCGAAATACTGAAGCATGGGTATTGTCTGCTTTTAATCAAGTTTATAATCAATCATCTTAGGATCAAGAGGAAACAAAGTAGAAAGACTTGAAAACTTTGCAGCCTGGCCAGGGAGTGAACAATGAAAAAACAAGTATATGGGTGTATAAATGGATAAAAGCAAGCTAGTAGCTTTGCATCAAAACAATTAAAAAAGGACCTCAGGAGCATCTCAGAACTCCTCCAGGTCCTCCCTCTCTCCCATCACATACCCAAAGACGTACTAGGACAGAATCGTTTCAGGAAAGTGTGCTGGAGCTCCCTGCATAGACCTGTTGCTCAGGGCCACTTTGTGATTTGTTTCCCTGCTTTCAGCCAAAGAAGCACTCCATGAATATAATTGTGATTCAGGCAGGCCCAGACATAACTCATGCTGGCACCAGTGTTGATATCATATTGTGCTGAGTTTGCAGGCATGCAGAATGCAAGAGTCATGCCAATACAAGAGTTATGGTAGGTTCCACCAGGGTTTCAAACAAAGCCTGGGAGGCCAGGCAGAAGTTTGCCACAGGGTGAGAGCCCTTTAGACAGTCCCCATGGGTGATACCCAGTGAAACCATGAAAATGGCTCTACTGTGTGGCCCCAGAAAAGTCCAGACACCAGCAACACACAGTGCCCACTGAGGAAAGCTGTAGGCAATGTGCAAAGCTAGCCTGCAATCAGCAAAGCCATATGGGTGGGGCTGCCCAAGACGTTGGGGCCCACACCTTTCTGTGTTGTTCCTGCTGCATGGTGCATGAGATGCTGGACTTGGAGCTTTAAGTTTTAGTATCTTCGCTGCCAAGATTTGGTCTTGCCTTGGGCCAGTTACTCCTTTCCACTTGCCTATTTATTCCTTTGGGAAATAGAAATGTTTAACCTATCTCTGTCCTGTCATTATATATTGGAAGTATGTGTCTTGATCTCTGGGTTTATAGGGGCTCACAGCTGAAAGGAGTTCTCCTTGAGTCTTAGTTGATACTTTGGACTTTTGAATTAATGCTCAAATGAGTTGAGACTTCGGGACTATTAGGGATGGAATGATTGTATTTTGCATTTGTGAGTGGAACAAAAATGTAGAGATAAAAACAATATAGTTTTAAGCTTGTTTCTTAGGGATTCAGGTGTTGAAATTTAATCCTCCATTGTGAGGTAATAATGAGGGTGGAGCTTAATCCAATTATGGTTTTGGGAGGTAGTTAGGATTAGAGTTGAGTCCCCATGACTGAATGCTGGTGGCCTTATACAAAAAGAGAGAGAGACCAGAGTGTACATACATGCATGTGTACACACATGCATACACACATTTATATTCACACTCATACTTGGGCATGGTCCCTGCCTCTCACCATTGATGACACTGAATTTTCTTCAGACTCTGCCAGCAAAAAGGTCATCAAAATATGTAGCCCCTTGATTTTGAACCACAGAACCATGAGCCAAAATTATCCTCTTTTTTTTTTTAATAACATACCCTGTCTGGTATTATGTTATTAAAAGCAGAAAACAGACTAAAACAGATACCTATCAACCAGCCTTTTAGACTATGAATAAAACCTGTGAAGTCCTCCTATACTCCTGTTTAAGTCCAGCTTCCTTCCTCTCCCAGAAGTAACAACTATCCTAAATTTTCTCTGAATTATTCTTTTGCTTTTCATTGTAATTTTGCCATATATTGTATGTGCCTCAATATGTTGTGAGGGCTTTATATAAATGCAGTAATACTATATTTATTCTTCAGAGATGTGTTCTCTCACTGGACAGTAAGTTTGTAAAATACATCTGTGAGACTGCATGAGAAAATAGTTTATTTACTTTCACAGAGATGTAGTATTATAGTATATGAACATAATGCGATGTTTTTTCTTTCAGTGATAGAATTTTTAAATATTAAAGTTTTACACATATGTAGAACAGTATATAAATCCCCCATGTACTGTTCAGTGTATTATCACAAAGTAGTCATTAAAACCAGTTTAAGCAACAGAACATGGTTATGGTCAGCCCCCAGAAACCTGCCTTGAGTTTCTCCTGTTCTGCCCCACTTAAAGATAGTGAATCTCTGTATTTCTAATCCAGAGATTAGTTTTGCATATTTTAACTCGATACAAATGGAATTATGCAAAATATATTTTTTTGAACTTGGTATCTTACTTTCGATATTATATGGGTAAGTTTCACCCCAGGAAAATGTAGCATAGTTTATTTTCATTGCTGTTTATTCTCGTGTATGAGATACAACAGTTTCTGCATTTTATGGTTGAAGAATATTTGGATTGCTTCTAATTTTTTGCTATTACAAATAATACTGCTGTGAACATCCTTGTACAGGTACATATGTATGTATTTCTCTTGAGTATATATCTAAGGATAGAATTGCTCAGTCATGACACAGCTATACCACATCTTAAAATCATTCTCCTTTTGATGGATTATTGTGTTCTGCTCCAGTGAACATTTCTTTATGTTTCCTAGGGTAAAGTTGACATAAGTAGACATTCAGTAGAGTAGGCACATAGGAATGAAATGGCTGAGTAAAGGTATGTATGTGTCTTCAGCTTTATGTAAAATTGTTTTCCAGGGTAGTTTGTACCAATTTACAGTCTTAAAAACAGAGTGGACCATTTCTTGCTCCATATTCTTGCCAACACCTGTTATTAACTGCCATTAAATTTTTGCCAATCTGGAAGGTGTATTGTGGTAGCTTTAATTTGAAGTCCCTGATTACTAATGAGGTTAAACATATTTTTGTTTATGGGCCATTTTGGTTTTTAAATTTTAATTTTTTCTGCTTATTCTTTAGTGTGGAGATGTACTTCCCTCAAAATGACTCTTGGATTGGCTTGGCACCCTTAAATATTCCTCGCTATGAATTTGGAATATGTGTCTTAGACCAAAAAGTGTATGTTATAGGTGGTATTGAAACTAATGTACGTCCTGGCGTCACTGTCAGAAAACATGAAAATTCAGTAGAATGTTGGAATCCTGATACAAATACCTGGACTTCTCTAGAAAGAATGAATGAGAGCCGAAGTACCCTTGGAGTGGTAGTGCTTGCAGGAGAACTTTATGCTTTAGGTGGATATGACGGACAATCTTATTTACAATCTGTAGAGAAATATATTCCCAAAATAAGAAAATGGCAACCTGTAGCACCAATGTCTACAACAAGAAGTTGTTTTGCTGCAGCTGTTTTGGATGGAATGATATATGCCATTGGTGGTTATGGCCCTGCTCACATGAACAGGTATTCAACTAAATAATCAAATTGTAAATGTTTGTAGATTTTATAAAAAGTATTATTGACAGTGATTTCAGAGTTTTAAACAATTCATGTGTATAAATGAACTTCCTTTTTAATATTTTCAAGTAATATTGGTTAGGTATTTGGAAATTTAAACTGCTCCATAAGTATAATTAGTTTTATTGGTATTCAATATAAACCTAAGATTCAAATTCTTCTTTGTTTTGTTTTGTTTTGGCTATACTAAAGTTTGAACTTAGGGCCTTGCCCTTATTAGGCAGGTGCCCTACCACTTAAGCCATGCCCCCAGCCCTTCAAATCCTTCTTATGAAACTTTACATACATTTAATAGATGTAAGGGGACTACGTTTTAAAACTAAGAAACCTGGAAATAAGAATTAAACATTTTTAGATTTTGTGTGGTGTGTGTGGTCAGGAAATAAGAATTAAACATTTTTAGATTTTGTGTGGTGTGTGTGGTCATTTATTTCATCATTCAATAGAATGAAAAGGAAATGTAATTCCTATATTCCAATATAATGTTGTAATATATTGTAAACTTAAAGTCTTATTTAAATATTCATTTATGAATTCTTATTTTATGATCATATGCTCATACATGTATTGTAATATATCTGGGTAGTGATAAAATCAGGATTAGAGATTCTTATACTCTAGTATATTTTCTAAATGAAGAAGTATATTTGAGAACATACATGTATGTAGTTATTGCTTTATGCATTATTAATCATAATCCTGAATCTTTGTTGAAAAATGATATTCTAAAGATTTTTATCTCTAGTAGTCAGTCATTGGAGTTGTATGTGTTTTATTGATTGTGAGCATTTTAATGAAAGGAGTATTATGAAATGCTGTGCCATTTAATATAAGGGAGGGGAGCATCTACAGGGATCCTGGAACCAATCCCCTGTGGATATCTAGAAATGACTATTTAAAGTAATAGCATACAGGTATTATTGTATCCATTCACAAGGTAAGCTTCTATTCCTGCAATCTTATCAACAAAACCTAGACACTTGTGACAAATTACTCATGTTTTATGTCTGTCTATTTATTTGAACTTTTAAAACTATGTCAGGTTATAGTTTTGCTGTGGCAGGAAAAGTAACACAAAAGATCTGTGAATTAATTTTTTTCTCATGTGAATATTTTCAGTGTGGAGCGTTATGATCCAAGTAAGGATTCCTGGGAGATGGTTGCATCCATGGCAGATAAAAGGATTCACTTTGGCGTGGGAGTCATGCTAGGCTTTATTTTTGTGGTGGGTGGACATAATGGTGTCTCACATTTGTCAAGCATTGAAAGATATGATCCTCATCAGAATCAGTGGACTGTGTGTAGACCAATGAAAGAACCCAGGACAGGTAATATTCATTTATGTTTAATTAATTTACTTGTTTTGTAGTGCTGAATATTGAACCCAGGTCTTTGTATATTGCTAGGCAGTGTACACTGAGCTACATCCCCAGTCCATAATAATTTATTAATTTCTAAACATATAGGGCAGTATTTTCTTAATGATACTCTTGAAATAGTATTATCTTGGAAGACAACAGTAAGAGTATTTTCCAGAAAAAGAAATGTCATGTTAAACTTGAAAGACAACTAACCCGATGAAACTATGTAGATTTCTTTATTGTCCTGTGTATATTACCATTTTCAAATTTTGAGAATGCATTTCGGGAAGTGCTGAAGATAGTGCATATCTTTCTAGAAACTGTTTTTGTCCATATAACATGTCCCATAATTTATGTTTTAAAAAATTTTTTATTAGGATGTTAAAATTGCATAAAATAATAGGTTTTATTATGAAATATTCATGTATGTATATAATATTTGTTGATCATATTCATCCCTCCCATTACCTTCTTTTGTCCACCTTTCACCTGCCACTGGTCCTTTTCCTTTTTCTAAATATTCCCCTTCCTGCTTTTATATCTATGTTTTTAGGTCTAGGTTCTGCATATGAGAGAAAACAGTTGATATATATATATTTTTTTTTTTTTTTTGGATGGGACTGGGGTGATATTTGTCTTTCTGAGTCTGACTTACTTCACTTAACATTTTGATCTCCAGTTCCATCCATTTTCCTACAAATGACATAATTTCTTACCCCTTTATGGATGAATAATACTCTGTATATATACCACATTTTCTTTATATATACATCCATTGATGGCCACCTAGGCTGCTAATATATCTTGGCTATTATTAATAGTATTACATGAATGTGCAGGTATCTCAATTGTATGTGACTTTTATTCATTTGGACTTATACCCAGGAGTAGTATACCAGATCCTATGGTAGTTCTATTTTTAGTTTTCAGAGGAACCTCAATACTGATTTTCATAGTGGGTAAATTAATTTACATTCCCATCAACAGTGTATAAGGGTTCTTCCCTCCTTATCCTCACCAGCATTTGTTGTTTGTTTTCTTAATGATTGTCATTCTGACTAGGATGAGATAGAAAATCAATGTGATATTGATTTGCATTTCACTGTGGTAACTAAGGATCTTGAACATGTTTTCATGTATTTATTGGCCATTTGTATTTCTTTTGAAAACTGTCCCATTAATTTGCCAATTTATTAATTGTATTATTAGCTTGGCATTAAATTTTTGAGTTCTTTATATATTCTGGATGTTAATCCCTTGTCAGATGAATAACTGGCAGAGTATCTCCCATTTTGTGGGCTGTCTCTTCACTCTGTTAGTTATTTCCTTTAATCCTGTTTGTCACTTCTTGCTCTTATTTCCTGAGCTATTTGGAGTACTGCTTAGAAAGTCATTGCCTATAACATAAGTTCCCTTTGTTTTCCTCTAATAGTTTTCAAAGTTTTGGGTCTTGAATTAAGGTCTTTGATCCATTTTGCATTGATTTTTGTGCAGGGTGAGATGCATGGATCTAGTTTTCAATTTTGCGTGTGGAAGTACTTTTTCCCAGGACATTTGTTGGAGAGACTGTCTTTCCTCCAGCATATGGTTTTGGCACCTTCACTGAGAATCAGATGGCTGCAGTTGCATGGGTTTATTTCTGGATCTTCTTTTCTATTTCATTGCTCTATGTGTCTGTTTTTGTGCCACTACTATGTTTTTTTTGTTATTATAGCAATGTAGTATAATTTGAAGTCAGGGATTATGATACCTCCAACACTGCTCTTTTTGCTTGGGATTGCTTTGGCTATTCAGGGTCCTTTTGTGCTTTCATATGTATTTTAGAATTGTCTTTTCTGTTTCTCTGAAGAATGTCATTGGAATTTTTATGGGTATTGCATTGAATCTATAGAATCAATTAATTTCATTACTATATCCATTTCAGAATATTAATTCTGTTGACCCATGAATGTGGGTGGTCTTTCTATGTTCTAGTTTGTTCTTCAATACCTTTCCTTAGTGTGTTCTGTAGTTTTCATTGTAGAGGTCTTTCACCTCCTTGGTTAGGTTTATTCCTTTTCTTTTCTTTCTTTCTTTTTTTTTTTTTTTTTGAGGCTACTGTGAATGGATTGTTTTCCTGATTTCTTTCTCAGCCTGTTCACTATTGGTAACTACAGAAGCTGATTTGTGTATGTTGGTTTTGTGTCCTGCTACTTTTGGCCAAAAGTATTCATCAGATCTAAGAGTTTTTTCTTTTCTTTTTTTTTTTTGGTGGAGTCTTTAGGATCTTTTAAGTAAAGGATCATATCATCTGCAAATAGGGATCATTTGACTTCTTCCTTTCTGATTTGTACCCTTTTTATTCTTTTCACTTGCTTTATGTATCCCTTTCTCTAGTTAAGAATTCAATGATTTCCTGGCTTTTAGAGTTTCTGCTGAGAGGTCTGATGTAATACTGACAAGTTTGCCTTTGGAACTAAGTTGGTGTTTTTCTCTTGTAGTTTTCAATATTCTTTCTTTGTTCTGCAGTCTTGACATTTTAACTATAATGTGATATGGAGAAGTTCTTTTTGTTCATATCTGTTTTGAATTTTCAATGTTTCCTGTTCTTGGATGTCCATATCTTCCCCTAGACTTTGGAAATTTTCTGCTGTAATTTCATTGAGTAGGTTTTCTATGTGTTTAGTTTATATATTTGCTCTCCTTTTTCTACTCTGTGGATTCTTAGAAGTCTTGTTTGTGTTCCAGAATTCTTGAAAGTTGTGATCATGCTTCCTTTTTTTTTTCTTTATTGGTGTCTGAATATAATATTTCCTTGATCTTGTCTTCAATTCTTAATATTCTTTATTCTGCTCAATTTAGTCTCTCAGTGCTCGTCCACTGTTTTTCATTTGATTTATTGCATTTTTCATTTTTAACATTTCTTGTTTTTGTTGTTTTTTTTTTTCCAGAATATCTGAATTTTTTTTGTTTTGTTTTGTTGTTGAGACAAGTTCTCACCATGTAACCCATGCTGGTCTTGAACCTGCTGCCTCAACTTCCTGAATATTGGGAGTAAGTGCATGTACCACCACACGTGGCTCCTTTCTGAATTTTTCATTCATGTTTCTTTCTTGTCCAAGTCTTGACATCACTGGTTTATTTGAATACTACTTGAAGTTACTGATTTTTGTTTGTGGATTTTTTTTTTTGGAGATAGTGTCTTGTTGTGTTATGGAGGTTGATCTGGAACTCACTGTGGAGCCCAGGCTGGCCTCAAACTTAACAATCTTCCTGCCTCAGATTTCTGACTACTGAAATTATAGGCATGTGCCACCATGCTTGGCTCACTGATCATTTTTAAAACTAGACTTTTGAAATCTTTGTCTGCCATTTCAGTGATTTCTTTCGTATTTCTTGTGTTCCATATTGTGATTGCATATCTATTGAGATGAATATCTCTTTCGGCTTTTTGTTTTTATGATGATCCTCTTAGTGGGCAGCCTTCTCTTCGGGTCACAATCCCCACTGCCACTCAAGGGTCAGAAACAAGACAACAGCAGTAACAACCAACAATTCAAAAGCAAACAAGATATTTAAATGTATTAATTTTAAACATCTATTATATCCTCCTTCAATAAGGTTAGAAAAGAAAGGAACTAGGATACTGTAGGATAAACTAGGAGTTTAAAAATTATTAAAGCTTAAAGGCATTAATAATTAAGCAATAAAAGAAGGGGGTATAGGGAAAGGAAAAAAGAGAACAGAAGGAAAATAGGAAAGAGAAGAAACGGGATAATGGTATAAGAAATAATAGTGAGGGAAAACAACAACAAAATAAATATAGAAAAAGAGAGGGAAGGGGAGGAGAGGGACAGGAAGGGAAGGGAAAGAAGAAAAAGAAAACACCAGTTAATTTCTTCCTTTCTGAGAATAGTATGAGTTCCTACTCCCTCCCATCCCTCTTTTGTTATTTGCAGTTTTCTCTGTGTTCAGAGCAGCTGTTCTTTTTTCCAAAGTATGTTAGACCAGAAAAACCTGCTTACAGACTGAGCCTCTGTCAGTGTTTTTCATACGCAGGCCTGCTAATGTGGAACACTGAAGATACCCTCAAACTTCTCCCACCAGCTAAGTTCAAGGACCCTCCCTTGTTGGATGCCTCCTCACACCAGAGGCGCTCTGCCTCTGTGGGTTTGGTGTGGGAAATTCCACAAGCATCAGCCGTTTTCTACCAACTCTCTCTAGCCTTCTGAGAGTATAAAGAGCTGTCAACCAAAGAAGTCTGTTCTGGCTAGGAAAGGTACAGAGCTCTGATTGATCCTGTGTGCCCTGGTCTCATAGTTTTCTGTCATAGCACCCCCACTCAAACTCACACACAGTTGGTCTCTCCTCTTACCAGAGATCATCCTACAGCAGCTCCAATGTGTCTGCCCTAGGTTTCCGTCTACCACACAGCTTGCACTACCCACCCAAGTAGATCTGTGTCCACGAATCTGAATCCAAGTCATAGCCAGTTTCCTGTGTGTACACTGATTCTTGGGGTGGCTGCTTGCTCAGTCAGTGGAGAAGGAGAGGGCTTTGCATTTTGGATATATAGTAATGCAGGGTCTTCTGCTCTTCTCAGCTAATAGGCTTGACTATATTACCTCTTCTAAGATGATTCTACCCCACAGCACCAGTGAGCAAGCTAGATAGTGAAGGGGATGCCCTTCTCTGGCATGTGCTTGCTGTGCAGGATGCAGAACTCCTGCCTTAAACTTTATTTTTGTGGAGCGTCAGCTTGTGCACCTGTGGAGCTTCCCAAGGCTTTCATTTTCTCTTTGCTTATAGCCCTGCTAGGGGGAATTCTCCCCCTTCCTTTACATTTTGCTTAACTCTCTATGTTAGGGTATGTTGCTTCTTTTATAGATCGATCTCAAGTTCAATAATTCAAGATTTCACCTGGTCTCTAACTGTCTGCTGTTCAGTATTGTCTTCCCTTCCTTTTCCATTCCACCCACCTGTCTGATTTTTGTTTCAGATTCATGGAGACACAGGAAAGTGCTGGTTGTCTCCGATCCATCTTTCCCTCCCTGTTTTGTGTTTTACACACACACATACATACATACATACATACATACATATACACACACTTTCCCTTCCCTTGGTTTGTTCTGTTTTGTTTTGAACTTCAGCCATCAGCAATGTGTAATTTTTAAATGTTCTGTTCTCTCCAAGGGGTATATTTCGCTAAAGAAAAAAAATGGGTTGGATTTCAGGGGTCATAGAAAAAAAAATACATTGTTGAGGGTAAGGAGAAATTGTTATTTTTGAACCCAAGCTCAAGTTACATTATTACTATTATTATTATCATTATTTTGCAATACTGGGGTTTGAACTCAGGGCCTTACTTGAGCCATACCTCTAGTCCTCCAAGTGTGATTATTTAAGGGGGCAGGTTTTAAGTTGCTCATGGAAATGCTTTGATGAAGTATTCCTCATATTTATGGTTGAAAAAACTCTTGAGACAAACATTCAAGGGAAATTAAAAGTACAAAGTTGAATAAATCATTTAAGTTTTTACTGTAATTAGTTTCTTTGATGAGGAAAGTCATAAAAACAATAATTTTAAAATTTTGGGTAGACTTAAATTCTTTTTAGAACAATGTGTGTTAATATCTAAAGAAAAATTTTTTACTTCCCACAAGATGCTTTTAGTATTGAGAAAAAGATGGTGAACAATATTAGGAGGCTGAAGTCATTATAGTTGACAGTAGTTTTTGTTTTTGTCTTAGGTACATGTTTCATGTTTCTACCTTAAAAGATGATATTGGCTTTGTGTTGTCAAAGATGTGGAATAGAGTGCCATTATATTTTTTCTTACCTATTCCTGGCCATCTTCCAATTTCATTATATTTTTATATGTATTTTTATTAATGTATATTAATTATACAAAGGGTTTTCTTATACATGCATATATTTTACACTGAGCAGATTAACCCTAAAAGAGTTTTGTTTTTGTTTTTTTGTTGTTGTTTTGTTTTGCTAAACTGGGGTTCATAGCCCTTGTGCTTGCTAGGCAAGTGCTCTGGTACTTGAGCCATACCTCCAGCCCCTAAAAGAGAATTTTTAAAGCATATATTATGTAGTTCAATATGTTTGAAAACCTGAAAAAATAAATTATTTTTTAAAAATACATATTTTATAGAAAGAAATATACTACATTCTTAATAGTACTTTAAGAATGTATGCCATAACAAGACTTCACGTACAACTATTATATACTAATAAAAATGTTAAAAAAGAATGTATGTCAGTTGTACTGATCTGATCATTACACATTATACACATGTATTGAGATGTCATACTGTACCCTGTGAATACGTACAATTACTATGTGTTAGTGAAAAATAAAAATATTCTTTAATAAAAGTATTTTCTTGTAGTGGGGGGAGAGGGAGAGCAGGATTGGAAGGCAGAGGAGAACAAAGACTTTGACTCTTTTGTGTTAAGGGTGCTCTTTTCCAGTAAGTGTGCATGATTTTTTTAATACATTGTTAAAATGTGTTCTAAGAAAACACTAAAATGCAAAGTCATTTATTCTTAGAAAAAGCCTGCTTCACTGTTAACATGTTCCTTCTTTCTGCCTACCTTTCCTAGGAGTTGGTGCCGCGGTAATCGATAACTACCTTTATGTAGTTGGTGGTCACTCAGGGTCTTCCTATCTGAACACAGTGCAGAAATATGACCCTATCTCAGATTCCTGGCTGGATTCAGCTGGCATGATATACTGTCGCTGCAATTTTGGATTAACTGCACTTTGACAAGTGCATGAAATAGCATGGTGGAGAAACTTGTGCCACGTGATAGGATGCCCAGTTTTCTGAAGCATAAAAGCTACATTGCTTTTTTTTTTTAACATAAAGTGGCATGAAGACTCAAAAATTTGAGTTATTGGTACTTTGAATTGACAAGTAATTTTGTTTGCTCTTGATATACAGTAAATCAATAATCAAAAACAAAAACAGGAAAGACCTGGCCAATTGAATTGTGCACTTTTATCCCTAAGACTGGGATAGACCAGCTTTATGTTCTTAATGTGTTTTTTTTGGTTTTGTTTTGTTTTTTGTAATTTTAACGTTCCTTCATTGGTCTATGTCATGATTTATTTGGAGGAGAGTATCTTTAGGCTCTGGAATGCATTGAATGATTAGAGAAAATGCTTGTACTGCTGGTAGGATGTAAACTCATGCTTCACATGTTTTAAAACAAAGGGCTGCTTTTACTTTTGGTACTTGTAAGAGTTGTAAATAACATGCCATGGTAAGTCATCTGAATACTGTTTCTGCTAAATGGCTTTGGGGCTAGTGGTGGTGTAAGTTTGCAAGGCAATGGCTTTTATTACTATATTTGGGGCCCTATTTTAAGAAGTCAAATATTTTCTGTTTATACCTTTTATATATATGGGCAGGTTAATGGTGGATGAATTTCATTACTCATCTATGCTAAAGAGTTGATCATATCAGTTTTAGTTTTTCTTTAGTAGTTTGGCAGGCTTGCTAGTGTTGATATAAATGTTTAAGAAGTATTTAGAACCCACCTCAATGCATTATTGATTTTTTCATATATACCTATTAATAATTTTTGCTTTTCCAGTGTGTTCAGATATAAAAATGGTGCTAACTGTAGGATCTATAACTAGGCTATAACTGATATTCTTTTGGGTGTTTAGTGTAAGATATGCATGACACATTTTGAAAGTCTGTTTCATTTTTACCAGCTTGATACATTTGTTCTCATTAAAAATGTTAGTAATTACATTAATGTTAACATCCAAAAATGATCTAAATGGCCTATGTTATGCTTTTTATGATTTTTGAATAATGATTTAAAGAAACATACATTTTTGGTCTACTTTCTTCTTGTGATAGAAAATATATGTCCTTAAAAACAGAAATATATGCATTAAATATAAATGACTAGGCAATTATACATTACTTTGTTCATTTCTTAGGTAACTGAATATTTTAAAGTTATTGAGGAAAACTGGAACTTGATTTTTACTTGAGTAATGGTTCTTAATTTGGTTCTGCTTTGATTAAAGAAACAACCTTTTAAAACAAAATTGTAGCAAGTGACAGCTTATTTTAAAAAATGGTTAACTTATTTCATTTTAGCATGTTTTAGTAAATGTCCGTTAGTCTTAAACACATTAACTTGCATTTTATTATGGTGTTGGTACTTGTGTTTTGATACTGTAGTCATTTTGTTTTCATTTCCTTGATTTTCTTTTTTAACCTACTCATGCTCTTTGTAAAGTCTCTGCAAGACCAATGTATTTTTCCCTAGGAATAATTCATACTGCATTCTTAAGTGCCATAATATACTAAACTATTGTTAAGAAGCCATTTGTAATTATAGGTTCAGTTGTTAGCATATATGTTATTTCTTAAAAACTATAGCCAAGTACTTTGTAGCTTTCCTTGTTCTTCCATAATACCAGTTGTAGATTAGCAAATATACTATGAAACCAGGTAAAGTCATCTTTAATCATAAAAGTAGTATCAATGCTTTATGAATATTTGCACAGATTATAAAGCCTTGCAAGTGATTTTTAGCCTCTTTTACAACTCAACAGGAACTACTAATAAAATCAACTGAGTATTTTCTTTGTTGCTTGTTTGAATAACAATGATACATAGCAATAACTTTTTTCATTGATTTGAACAAATATGTTGACTAGAAATAAGGTGTGCAATTGTAGTTGGCCTGAATTTTGTGTAAAGAAAAGTAATTTAAAATTGATAGCATCACATATTTAATTTTAAATACTCAACTCAGTTGTCTTTGTTTATATAAGTCAAATTATTCAATATATCCTATTGTACTATTTTTAATCTCCTCCTTCCAAAAGATAAAGGAGTTTGAAAGACTTTAAAAATATTTTAATTATGAATGCATCTATGCCAATCATTTTATTTTAATATTTTATTCATGTATTATTTCCATATCAAATTAGTCTGAAATATATAATCATTTGATAAATTGGATCAAAAGTATAACCTGATCATTACATGTGAAAAATCTAAATTTCATCTAGGCAAAGCCTAAGTGTGAAACATCTTGAGCAGCAGTAGAAATCAGGTACCAGCCAACAAATTATGAAAACTTATGAGAAGAAAAAAATCAAAGTTTAGAAATGTTTTTATTTTAGGATTTTTACTATTCATAACAATCAGAGCTACTAATATGACCTGACATCTGATAAGTTTTGCAATAGAGCTTTCTTTTTCAAATTTGTGAGAGATTTCATTATGAGTACTCTGCTGACAAATTGTAAATTTTAAACCACATGTTTCTTAGTTTAAAAGGATCAGCTGTTTGGTCATGCAGAGGGAAACAGAAATAAAACTAATCAATTGCAAGGTAATTTGCCTTCTATAATTATGTTATAAAGACTTACTTTTTAGGGAATGTTTTTTATTTAATTTTTATTGGATATAATAGTAGAACTTAACTGATTTTAATGTAACCCAAAGGATATTTACATGTTCTATATGTTACTGTTAATATTGTTTTAAATATGAATGAATATTAAACTATAGGAAGTGATAGTGTTGGGGGAATATTTTGACAGACGGAGAAACCAAGTGACACTTGGAGGAGTGGAGAACTCAGATTTTACTTTACACCGGTGGGCCCAGACGTATACGTGTCTGAGTCCTGAACAAAGGATTCATAGGATATTTAAAAGGCAGTGCAGGGCATCAAGTTACAAAAATATGCTCAGGTTATTGGGGCTAACAGTGGGTTAGAGACCTAAGGTTGTTTAGATTAATTGGGGCTAGTAGTGAGTCAGAGACCTAAGGTTGTTTAGATAACGTCAGCAGGGGAGACCTGCTTTGGAAAGTTTATTTATAAGTGGAGACAAAGGAAGGCAGGAATGGGTGCTTATCTCTACATGGTGCCCTTTATCTGGGTCCTGAACTTTTTGCATGGCTTTAATGGGCAATTCCTCATGCTCTACATCTCTGGCATGCTTTACAGCCCTGATTCAAGGCTGTCTTCCTCTTTATTTTACAGTCCTGTTTCAAGGCTATCTTCCTCTTCATTCCCCCTTCTTGATTCTTTCTCCACTTGTGAACAAGCATCAACACTAGATTTTAGAAATTCCATAAGGTTCCTTTTGTCCCAAAGGCCTATATTGTGTTACTAAGAGCTGCAACTTTATTGCCTCCATCTGCAAGCTAATAAAGTGAGTTATGCACCAAACACCAGTGCCAATAGAAGCATGAGGATGGGGCCATGATGCCCAGTTCCAGATGTTGCTCCATCTGTCCAAGAATTTGCTAATTCCTGTCTCGTACGTGTGACTCGGTCCTGCAATTGCTGAGCCATATCTCTGACTGTTCCCAACTGATTTACATAAAAACAACACTCTTCATTTAAGAAAAGGCAAAGCCCTCCCTTTTTGGCAGTGAGTAAATCCAACCCTTTCCGGTTTTGGAGAACCACTGATGCTAGGGAGTCCAGTTGCTCCTGCATAGTCATTATGGACTTAGCCACTTGCTCTATGTCACTTGTTAGCCCTGTGGATCATTGATTGTAATAGGTAGCTGATGAGGCAATTCCTCCTATGCCTGTTCCTATCCCAGCCATTATCCCCAGTTTGATTAATAAAGGTATAAATTGGATAGCTCTCTTTGACTGCTTGTGAGCTACTAAAGGCATGGGGAGGATCTGATTATTGGGCACTATGTTTATTTGGGGGGTGAGGAATGCTAGTGTACAAACGCCCTTCCAGTTAGCTGGCAAGCACTGATAAGCAAGGGTCCCGCAGACAAAGAAGATTCCCGGCTGCTGCCCCATAGCCTGTCAACTGTACATCTAATGGGGGTAGCTGTACAGTTTTGGACTTGAGCACATTGGTCAGCAGCCAGTTCCTCAACTGAATAGTATACTTTTGAATTGTAGATACTACTAGGGGCTTCCTGAAATAGCTGTATATTTTTTACTTTGGGTTGTGTACTGGTAGAGTTGAGAGGAGTTTCATGCCCACTCTGGTTGAGGAGGCTTACTGGGGTTGCTACATATTGGAGAGGACCTGGAGACATGAAGAGCCAGCAATCACCTGCCAGTGGTAGGTTCGTAAGATTAAGGAGGCAGTAGGTTGCATTTAGCAAGTTGTACAGTTGAGGTTCCAAGTTAAGTTTCCCTGTCTTCGAGGGGAGCCTTAACGGAGGTCATGGTGGTGGCAGATCAATGTCTTCTACAGGCTCATGTCCACCTAGGTAATCACCTTTGGGTGGACCTTTCAGTTCTGTGACTCTCCCCTTAGTAAATTGATATGGGGGTGGGGTAGAAGGGAAGGTGCCCAGACATAACAAGGTTTATTTCCTCCCCTTGTCATTTCATCATTCCATGCCTTTAAGGAGTCCCCGTCCTTCTGCCAGCAAACCATCTGCCCTATAGTGCCCTTGTTCTTGCAGGACCAAGTTAGACCTGTCAGCTTTCCTTTATAGTAAATCGTCCCTCCCCTGTTGCATTTAGAAATTGATATGCTGCACACGGGTGACAGATATTGATATAAATGAAGGCATACCACAGTTTTCCCTGGAAGGAAAGCAGCCTTACGCAGGCTGAGCAGTCATCCTGGCCTCTCAATTGAACAACCTCAAAATGTAGCAGAATTAGAAGGTAATAACACATCAGAGACCTCATGCCTGAGACTGGGATCTAGGCTACAGACAACACTAGACAGCGGTTAGGCTTCCAACTTATGAGGAGATAACAGAAGGCTAATAGTAATCTCTGGCCTAGGTTCCAATTCCGGGGAGCAGTGACAGCCAGTCCTACTGCAAACAGTATTGCAACAATGCTAATCAGCAGGATAAGGTGTGGGTGACAGAAAAGGTGGGTGACAGATAAGGTGTGGGTGACATCTGTGTCCTGGTGGATGAATCCTCAGGCTTCCACCGTTCGTTGACCAACCAGCTGCCAGAATATGGTTGGGACAGGGCTGGAG